TATTAGAAACAAGTCCAATGTTCATCCATAGGGCATTTGTTAAATAAATAATGGTATATATATACATATATGTCTTAAAATAAGACCAGGGTACATACATCTATGCCCTCATCCCATGGCTATCTCATCTAGTTTCTTGCCTTTAAATACCATGTGTATGTGGATGATTCCTAAGTTTTATCTGCAGCTCAGTTGTCTCTCCCATACCCAACTGCTACCTGATTATCTCCACTTGGATGTCATAACAGGCATCTCATATTCAACTTATCTGATGAGCTTCCCTCTAAATCTTACTTCCATGGCAGCCTTCCCCATCTAAGTAGATGGCAAACTCCATTCTTTTCATTTGCTTGGTCTAGAAGCCTTGGAGTCATCCTCCCTTTTTTCGTAACCAATTCTCAGTTGATCAGGAAATACTTTTAGCTCCACCTTCAAACTATATGCTACTTTTCACTACAGTGGCATAGTGGTTAAAGAGTGGGGCTGCTAAAAAGGTCTGCTGTTCAAATCCACCAGCTGCTCTTTGGAAACCTTATGGGGCAGTTCTAGTCTGTCCTATAGGGTCGCTATGAGTCAGAATCAACTTGACGGTAATGGGTTTTGAGTTTCACTACAGTGGCTGCTAATACCCTGGTCCAAGCCAACATCATTTTTCACCTGGATTATTGAAATACTGAAGAAGAATTGATGCATTTGAATTATGGTGTTGGTGAAGAAAACTGAATATACCATAGACTGCCAGAAAAATGAACAAATCTGTCTTGGAAAAAGTACAGCCAGAATGCTCCTTAGAAGCAAGAATGGCGAGACTTCATCTCACATGCTTTGGACATGTTATCAGGAGGGACTAGTTTCTGGAGAAGAACATTATGCTCGGTAAAGTAGAGGGCCAGCAAAAAAGAGGAAGACCCTCAATGAGATGGATTGACACAGTGGCTGTAACAGCGGGCTCTAACATAGCAACGATTGTGAGGATGGCATAGGACCACGCAATGTTTTGTTCTTTTCTACACGGGGTCACTGTAAGTTGGCTTGATGGCACCTAACAACAACGACATTGAAGTAGCCTCTTACCTGGTCATCCTGCCTCTATACTTCCCTCTGTACACTCTCTTCTCATCAAAGCAACCAGAGTGATTGTTTTCAAACATTAAATTAAATCATGCTACTCTTCTGCTCAGAACTCACTGATGGCTCCATTTCAGTCAGATTAAAAGTCAAAGTTCTTACAAGAGCTCTCAAGGAACTCCTCTTTTCTCACTCCATTCCCTATTACTCTCCTTCCTCATTTAGCTTCTGCCAGCCTGACTTCTTTGATGCTTCTTGAATACACCTGTGTTCTCCCACCTAAGGGCATGTTTATCTGCCTGGATTGTCCCTTGGATATATACATGGCTGATTCCCCAGCCTCCTTCATGTCTTTGCACAAATGTCACCTTTTCAGTGAAGGTTACCCTGACCACTCTATTACCCACCACTCAACAGTCACGATCACCTTTACTTTGCCTTTCCTTTTCTTTATTCCATAACACTTACCGCCTCTTATACTATCCCCCCACTACCGTTGAATCAATTCCAGCTCATAGAGACCCTATAGAACAGAGTAGAACTACCCCGTAGGATTTCTAAGGGTTGGCTGGTGGATTCGAACTGCTGACCTTTTGATTAGCAGCCAGCCCCTTAACCACTGTGCCACCAGGGCTCCTCTTATACTATAGCCTTTACTTATTTGTAATGCATATTGTAGATTGTTGTTACAGTCTAGAATGTAAGCTACATGAGGGTAAATATCTTTGTCTACTTTTTTTCAATGATAGATCCCAAGGGTCTAAAATAATGTTGAATCGATGAATAAATAAATGAAGCAATCTGCAAGACAACTTGAAAATTTCAAAGTATGTGTAACTATTCATTTTGCTTTTGTGTACCGTCGAGTCAATTCTGACTCATAGTGACTCTATATGACAGAGTAGAACTGCCCCATAGGGTTTCCTAAGCTGTAATCTTCATGGGAGCAGATTGCCAGGTCTTTCTCCACGGAGCAGCTGGTGGGTTCAAACTGCCAACCTTTAGGTTAGCAGCCGAGCTCTCAACCGTTGTGCCACCAGAGTTCCTTAACTATTCATAGTATTTAGTAAAAATAGATATATAAATGATATAAATGTTTGCAGGTGAAGACAATATCTCTGGAAGAGTGTGACAGAAACTACTACTAATAGTTGTCTTTGGGAGGAACGCTGGGTACCTATCATGGGAAGAAGGACGCACGTTCTAGTGCTCAAATGTGGATCTGTCATTTCTTCAGTTAAATAAAATAGTTTAAAAATACATTGTATAGCTGACCATATTCTGGAATTGAAAATTCTTTATAAAACAGAGCCAGCTTTTCAAAGAATTCCTTGAGTGTTTAATTTTATCACCACTAGGTGGCACATACCTACTGATAAGTTCTTAGAGGCTCCTAGGCACAGGTTTTAAACAAACCTTTTCAGCTCCCCAAACTTAGCAAAGTTTATTTCAGCTATGTGGTTGATTTTTTGCAAGAAATTTCCTAGTTAGCGATATCAGCTTTTAAAGGATTTTCCCACTAGCTGTGATTTCTTAACATTATTGTGACATTTGAGTTGCAGGAATGTCTTAACTCTGCAAAGGCTAGCTTAGATACTCTTAAAAATACTTTGTTTAAATTTTCCAGTGTTTACCCTTGCTCCTTTTTTCCTATGAAATAACTTACTTAATAAATGAGATTTCTAGATTCTGTGTACAAACGTAGATTTTTGTATGACATTATTGTTTCACTGCTTTTATATCAAATGAATCAATGTCCAGGACCAAATGCCATTTAACTGAGTACTTATGTAACGTGCAATAAACTGAGTTAGGCAAATGGGTACTGTGGAGGATATAAAGATAAAATATTATATATTGCGTCTGTCTTCACAGACCTTTCATTTTATACAACTATTATACAGAAAGAATATGGTAAATGAGGAAATTAAAATGTTAAGTGAAATGAGAGCAGATGGTTGATATTAATTTGAAGACAGAATAAGGTAGCATTTAAGAAGAGCTTTAAATATGTAGTTGCACTCTGAATGGATTGAATATAGATGTTATATAGATTTACATTTCTGTGTAAAGGGTCGATTATACATCAAGATAAAGATATGATCTTTAAAAACAGGTGGTAAATATGGATTAATAGGATAAACATCTGTGTCCTTTTTTATTGTGGTAAAATATATATAACAAAAATTGCTGCTTTAACCATTTTTAAGTGTATAATTCATGACATTAATTACATTCACCATGTTATGCAACTATCAGCACTATTTCCAAAGTTTTTCTTTACCCCAAAAGGAAAATCAGTACCCTTGAAGCAGTAACTCTCCATTCCCACTAATAAACTTTTGACTACTAACAAACTTTTGTCTCTATGCCTTTGTTTATTCTAGATATTTTGTATCAGTGGGATTATATAATATTTGTACTTTTGTGACCAATTTAGCATAATGTTTTCAAGGTTCATCTTTGTTGTAGCATGTGTCAGAACTTCATTTCACTTTATGGTTGAATGATACGCCATTATATGGGTATAGCACATTTTGTTTATCCACTCATCTGTTGATGGGTATTTAGGTATTGTAAGTAATGCTGCAATGAACATTGGTGTACAAGTATCTGTTTGAGTCCCTGCTTCCGAGTCTCTTGGGTATATGGCTAGGAATGGAATTGCTGGGTCATAGTGGTAATTCTGTGTATAACTTTTTGAGAACTGCCAAACTATTTTCCATAGCATCTGCGCCATTTTGCGTTCCTACCAGCAGTGCTCGAGGATTCCGGTTTTTTCACATTCTCGACAACACTTGTTATTTTCTGTTTTCCTGGTAATAACCGTGATAATAATAATATGATGAAGTAGTATCTTATTGTGGTTTGATCTACATTTCCTAATAAATAATGACTTCGAGTGTCTTTTCATGTGCTTGTTGGCCATTTGTATATCTTCTTTGGGGAAATGTCTGTTCAAGTCTTTTGCTCATTTTTAGATTGGGTTGTTTGTATTTTTGTAAGAGAGTAGTGGGAGTTCTTCATATATTCTGGATATTAAACCCATATCAGATATATGGTTACAAATATTTTCTTCCATCCTGTAAACTGTAACACCTATATGCTTTTTGATGTTAAAGTTTTTAAAAATAAAATAAAATGGTAGCCTGTGTTTTGTACATTGTAATATTTAAAAACGCTATAAAAACCTTTTTTGGCAAGTTCTAAAATAACTTTGGAAAAAAATCAATGGACTCAATATTTTATAGTAATTTTTAACCCATAGATTCTTTGATTTTATTTCTTTTAAAAAATATATATATTTTTAAAAACTAAGTAAATGTTTAGAAAAAGTGATGTATCCAAGTAGAATAATATTTCTTAATGAGTGTTTACTATGCCAGAAAACTGTATCATTTATTATTTCATTTAATACTCATGAAACCTTATAATCACCCTGTTATTATCCACGTTTTATAGATTAAGAAACTGAGGCATAGACATTTAAGTAACTTGCATGCATATGTCAATATCTGCCATAAAACCAGAACTAGCTGCAAATGGAATTATCTTACAATAAAAAACTTGTTTTTCAGTATCTACCACTTCAATATCATTACTATGTCACATAAAAGGGAAGCAGTGTTATTTTAATAAAATGAATTAATAATGACTACTTTGTTTATTACAAAGAAAACTTTTTGTAACTTTTTAAGTGTGCGTTGAATCTTATTGTACTATTATCTTAGTGAATCAAGAATCTGACTATTTTGACTATAAACATGCTATATCTAAAAAATAATATAGTAATAATCAGATACCAAAAATCTAAGAAATACACAGTTCTCCAAATTAGATGTAGTTTTAATTCAAGAGCTAAATGAAGTGGATTTAAAAATAAAATTATATATTTAAAAATGAATTTTATTCTTTTTCATGTATTTCTATAGCCAGGAAAATGTAAGAATAAAAAGAAGTGGTATAAAAGTGCACTGCAAGAAGCATACCTACTCTATGGATGTTCTCATGAAGAAAGACTGGAAAAGTGTTACCTATCAAAACAAGGTATATGAGTGTTTTATTTTTTGTCACTTTTAAATGAGCATTTGTTCAGATGCATGTTTTCCAGAACGTTTGCACATTAAAAAGTCTCTCTCTTTCTCCTTATAGGGAAATAGTATATCTTTGTCTGCTGAAAAATCATTTTTGTAGGGATTGATAGTATTTGTCCTCTGAAACTATTTTAAATGACTAATAATACACTCTTTAAATGCAAGGGTTTTTATTCACACTTCTGTCATCTTTACTCTAGGACTGTCTACACAGGCCCTCTTGTGTATTTCAAAAGCGTTATTTCAAAATTAGAAGTCGTGGCTTTAAAATGTATTCCTGGGATGAAATTTTCACTTGGCTATGCTGTGTTATTCCAGAACAAAGTATTTTTCAAAACATTTTGTTTTTTAAAAAAAGTTCACAGGCAGGATAAAAGATAATCCTCAACCTTTTTTTTTCTTTTTAAAAATAGGCAGGTGAAAAAATATAACATTTCGGACCATTTTCAGAGACGGTTCTCTTGAATCATAAATATTATGGTTTATTGATAGTTCTTTAAGTGAATTCTTCTGAAGGTTGATAACACTTAGGACACATTTTTAACTCTAAAAAATGATCATCACATAAAAATAATAATGCCAGTAAACAAATATGTTTTAAATTTTTTTCTGCTCAGTTGCTCAGTGATGATAATAATTTTATAACTTACAAGGTCTCTTCTCACTTCATCACCTTGAGTTATGAAACAGATCACTCTACAGGAGTATCTGGCTTTTGGTGCTGACTGAATTTTAAAATTAGTGATTTTTTTCTCCTTTGAAGAAGTTTCACATACGTATATATATGTATATTAAATTTACATACATTTATTTGGGAAAAGGTTTAAATATCAACCCAAGCACCTTGATTTCCTGGTGGCGCAGTGGTTAAAGAGCTTGGCTCCTAACTGAAAGGTCAGCGGTTTGAATCCACCAGCCACTCTGTGGGAGAAAAGTGTGGCAGTCTTCTTCCCTAAAGATTTACAGCCTTGGAAACCCTATGGGACAGTTCTACTCTGTCCTTTAGGGTCACTGTGATTCAGAATCGACTCAACAGCAGTGGGTTTGGTTTGGTTTAGTTACCTAGGTTTAGGTTTTTAAGCAAATAAGTAGGTTTGAAAAGAATGATAAGCACCTTATGCTAGTTTACCCTGAGACCAGGAGGAAAGACATTTATTACTACAAATCTGATTTTATTCCTTTGCTGAAAATATAATGTCTCTGTCTATTAACGATAAATGTAGAACTCACTTGATTGCCACAAGTACAATCTTACGCCTTCCATGGACTATACAGCTCTCTTGTTTAACCTCAGTAAACTTGGAAATATTTAGTTTTTTTTTTTTTTTAAACATCAGTATTTTGAAATAGTATAGTCATTTACTTTTAAAAGTGATGCTGCGTCTACTTCACCCGGGCAGGAGACCCCCCCTCAACAGGTCACAGACCACGCCTTTGCGATTGGGCCAGAGCGTTCGTGTCTGCGTCCTGTGTCATTCTTGCATGCCCAGGGCTTCTCTCTAGTGGTTATCTCTGCTGCTGCAGCCACAGAGCATTATCTTCCCAAAAGTCTGACGATTTTTGTACGCAGAGTATTTCAGCCTGATTCTTGAGAGCCACACATCTAAGAATTTTCATTTTGTCCTGAATAGCCAAAGTGTAGGGTCATGAACAAAATTCCAGGAGTTCGTCCATTGCGATAACGGACTCACTCACTTTAGACTCGCTCTTTGCTGTCTCCAAAATAGACAGTTTAATCCTGTTTAGTTTCCAGAGTGGATTTTTAAAAAATAATATCTTTCTGTGTTTTTGATTAAAGTTTACACAGCAAATTAGCTTCTCATTTGACACCTACACAAATTGTTCAGTGATATTAGTTACCTTTTTCACAGTGCGTCAACGTTCTCTATAATTGCATTGTTTGTTCCGTTTCCACTAGTCTAGTTTCCCTGCCAACCTTGTCTTCTCATCTTTGCTTTAGAGTAATTATTGACTGTTTGGTCTCATATGTTGTTGTTGTTAGGTGCCGTTGAGTCAGTTCTGACTCATAGAAACCCTGTAAGACAGAGTAGATATGATCCATAGGGTTTCCAAGGAGTGGCTGGTAGATTTGAACTGCTGACTTTTTGGTTAGCAGCCAAGCTCTTAACCAGTACGCCGCCAGGGCTCCTTGCTCTCGTATGGTTTTTTAATGGAGCACCATACTTACAAGTAATATACTTTATTTTGTGTGCCAATCTGTTCTTTTGCTAAAAGGTGACCTCTGGGAATAGTTTCAGTTCTAGGTTTAAAGAGTATCTTAAGGCAATAGTCTCAGGGAGTCCTCTAGTCTCAACTGGTCCAGTAAGTCTGGACTTTTTAAGAATTTGAGTTCTGTTCCATGTTTTTCTCTCTTTCAGTCAGGGTCTGTATATTGTAACCCTGATCAGAATGGTAATGGTAGCTGGGCACCATCTAGTTCTTCTGGTCTCAGTGTAGATGAGGCTGTGGCTTGTAGACTAGTTTCTTCTCTGAGACTTTGGTTTCCTTAATCCAGAGTGGATTTTGGTACAGAATTCAGCTTTGTACTGTATTGGAAAGTAGTTTTGAGAGATGATTAGCCATTATTCAGATATTTCACGAAAGGAGAGTAGCTTAGAGGCAAACCGTCTATTTCATCCCAGCAACTTTAAAGGTTTCTTTGCCCAACAATTAATATATAATATAATTATTATAGTCTTCCTACCCTGCAGAAACTGGCACACTATCATATTTGATGCAGCTGTTTCAGTTGAAATCTTCAGGATCAGTAAATGATATAGAAAGGTGGACTCAAATCATATTATGACCAATTTCAAAGTCTTATCCACATTATTTAGTTGTCCTGTACTTTGTTGTATTAACTATGACTACAAATAAGAGATTGTTTTGCTAGGGCTAGAATGCTTTTTCATATATATGAGCAGTTATTATTTACATAGTCTCTTTATAATTTAGCCTTATTGTTTGTATTATTTGTAAGATCAATATTTTCTTACAGGCTGTACATTTTAGAGTTGATGTCCCTATGTCTACTGTATAAGAAAATGCTCTAAGCTGTCATATTTAGATATGATATTATATACTGATAACTTTTTTCAGAGGTTATGGTGGCACAGTGGTTAAGCCCTTGGCTACTAACTGAAAGGTTGACAGAACCCACCAACCAGTCCACAGGAGAAAGTTGTGGCAGTCTGCTTCCATTAAGATTACAGGCTTGGAAACCCTATTGGGCATTTCTACTCTGTCCTACAGGGTCACTATGAGTTGGAGTCGACTCGACGGCAGCGTGTTTTTGGTTTTATGAGTGGATCGAGCTTTAAGAAAAATTATTTAAAGAAGAGAAGCCATTGAATTATGTTAATATTTGTATTCCTCTCTAATATGGTTGTAAATAAGAAATCTTTTAATGTTTATTATGTGTCATGAGGCATAATCACCTCTACATGTTTGGAACATTTTCAGTTACTACCTGCAAGTCCTCTTGTACTTTAAAAATAAAATGACTTGGATACAACTCAGAAGAGGAGTGAAGGAAGTCTTTCATTATCCAAATCTATATTTCCTGTTCACTGCTTTTCATTCTGTATGGTGAGGATCCCTGAACGCAGGAATCTCTGAACGGAGGAAATGAAAATTTCTCACTATGGAAAATTCAACTCTTAAAAAGTGGTTAATGTTGCTGAAGTTTGACACAAACTCACTATTATTTTTAGGAAAGTCACTAGTAATTGTAATGTTGTTAAGTATTACATCAGAAATTTCTCTGTAGTGTTTGAAAGTCAGAGTTTTTGTCACTCCCGAAGACTCTTCTGTCGGATTGGGAGAAGGTTCCCCAACTTTTGAACACAGGAAGTTTCATGAACAACAGTTTGTATATTTCTGTTAGCAGTTCATCTCCATAATGGAAATTTTACATAAGAATGAGTAACGAATTTTTATTCTGTTTTCGTTAACCCATTGTATGCCATCAGGATCCATTAGATCTAATGTTAGTTTTGAGTTTCTTTTTGTACGGTTTTAACTATTTGTAAAGATTAATATTTTGTGACTTTTATTCTTATTAGAGGTCTTCAAAAGAACAAAAAGAAAGTTTACTTTTTCTTTTTTGATATGGCAAAACTTATTCCATCTTGTAATTACCACGTGCTTGCACTGGGTCCTTTTATAAGTCCATTATGGGATTTTAGTGATCTTATTTTTTCCTGTGTTTTGAAACATTTCACTTCTTTATCATTACTCATCAGTTATTCCCAACTATGTTAAAAAGACTAAAATGATTATTTAAAAGAAAGAATGATGGAATCACTTAAAAAGATGATATAATTGTAAAATACATCATCATTGTAGCTGTTTCTCCTGGTGTTCCAAGGATTAAGATTATACAGACATCTACATAAACACACACACCCCAAAATGTCTTTCTTTATTAACTAAAATGGAAGAGAATATTTGTTGATTGCCTATTATTGGCTAGACATTGTTTTTGGAGATTTACATAGATTATACTATTTAAATCTCACAATATAACAAAGGGGTATTGTTATCCCTGATTTGTCAATAAGGAAGCTGCAGTTCAGAGAGTATATACATTGTTTTATACCTCATATTATCTAGTATAGTAGCTTACACCAAATAGATGCACAATACATTTTCATTACTAAACAACATTAATTTTTTCACATAAAATATATATTTCAGATCCATGCAGGGTCAAGATTTTTAATGAATAAAATCCGTGTACATCTATTAATTATACAAAATATTCAGGACCTACTGCATATAAAATGTGATCCCTGCTTTGAGGAACATTCTAGTCTAGAAGAGTTCATAAACAAATGCAGAAGTAACCATAATGCAGTGGAGATAATTTCTGTGTCCTAACCTAGGTACTAATTCCAAGATGTCCTACCAATCAATCACATTTAAGGGAGGAGGTTTGTCAAGTAAGTATACAAATTCCTGATAATATTACTTCAAGATTACTTCGCTCTTCTAAACTCTAGGAAATTGAGTTTATTAGCATTGTAATCAAGGGAACACTGAAAAAAATACTGTTAGCACAGTATGAGAAAGAAGAAAATTCTGATCGTACAACTTTGTATTTATTTGAACAGTAGTATAGACACTTTTTTCAAGCAGCCATATTTTATTATGTTACAGATAAACCCAAAGCAGATACCAAAGTTGCTGTGATGGCCAAGAAAAGGGTAAGATCATATTTTGTTATATAAGATATACACACTTCAGATTCCATTTGATTAATAGTATTTTTTAAAGCAAAATGACATATAATCAATTTTTTTCTTCTAAATAAGCTTGTAAATTTTCTTAGTTGAATATATGTTTCCTTTCTTAGGTTATCACTAGAAGATAATATCTACGGGTACATAACTATATTTTTACACGAATAACACACACCCTCTGCATTTGTTTGCCAACCACATCCTCGTCCCTCAAGGTATTTTTCTAAGTGCACTATGCTGATTTTGTACAGCAGCATGTAAAAACAAATTGGCATAGCAATGCTTATGAAAATACCTCAAAGGGGGAGGATGCAGCTGACAAACAAATGTAGAAGGTGCATGTTATTTGCATAAAAATATGGTATATGTGTGATAGATTTACCTAGACTCTTTTTTTTTTTTTTGAGAACTTGTGAAGTCAGTAGCATTTTTAAAGAATTTTTCAAATTTAACACGTCATTCTCTATATTGCATGTAGAGAGATTTTTAACTCTATCTACTGTCAAAATGGAGCCCTGGTGGCACAGTGGTTAAGAGTCGGTTGCTAACCTTGGTTGACAGTTCAAATCCACCAGCCACTCCTTAGAAACCATATGGGGTCAGTTCTACTCTGTCATTTAGGGTTGCTATGAGTCGGAATCAACTTATGGCAAGGAGTACTGTCAATATTATAACTGGGATAGGGTGAACCTTGATGTTTTCTTTGACAGTGTTTTTACAGGACACTACTATAAATGAGAAAGAATTGATGCTTAAAACAAATTATTCTGGACATGTAATATGTTGGTGTCTAAAGAAAAATATTTGCAATTGAAAGGAAAGCCTATATTGGGAACTTCCTGTCTTTGATGGTGGGGATGGGACAGGGTGGACTCAGGAAGGTTGAGTGTAACCTGGGAGAACAGACAAGGATGTTTGGCATGGACTTATAGATGAACAGACAATGGTGAGCATCCTTTTTATATTCTGAATACATATATTTTATGAGTCCTTTTGAAATCAGGTTTTATCTTTCTGCTTTTCTGCTTGTAAAAGGGATGTGAACCTGGACTTTCCTCTGGCTAAATAATGTTGATGCTCCTTTGCTGGAAGGAATTCAATATCATAGAAGACAAAGTTTCCCTTTATAAAAGAAAGGAAATAGAACTCGTTTGGACAGGAATATGTGGGATAGTGCAGGATTGTTCATTTGAATGTAATTGTCTATTTCAATCTTTGCTAAAGGGTATTTAGAATAAAAAAATAATCAAGGTGATAACTAACATTTCAACATATTGCTTCATTTTTATCAGTGGTTCTCAACTGGGGCATTGGTGTGCCATTCATAGTGTGGTCCATGGACCAGAGCTGGTCTATGAACTATTTGCTATTGTTCTCTGATAAACACAGAAATTGAGAATAGGCATTTAAAAAATTCTATAGTAATTTTACAGAGTAATTTTTGTCTGTTGAATCTAATAACAATAAAATGGAGCTTGTATTTTCTGTTTCTTTGTTTTTTTATTTCATTTTTCTAGTAACTCACTTTTATAAAAAAGTATAGGTCTGGTACAGACTGGGGTTTGGAGGAATTGTCCTTCACCACAGATTGTTTGAGAGACATTGCCCTATGGAACATTGTACAAATTTGTGGATATGTTATGGTAATTTTGGGGAGTACAGGGCATTTTATTGGGGAAGGGTATGGGACACTTCCCAATGCATGGAACAGAACAATAATAAAAGCTGTCCAACATATTCAGCATGACTTTTGAATGTTCTCCTGGACTCAACAAGCTACAAATGTAATTATAGAGTGATTTAATGTAAAATAATACGGAAATGAGATTTAGACAAAAATCCAAGGAATTTAAAAGGCCCATTATGGAGAGGGCAGCTGAAATGGAATAAACACATTGTTCTTGAAATTATCAAATAATTTACTTATTCTTTGTTCAACATATTGTAACCTATCCAACTATATAGTTAGCTGTAAAGGGCTGTACAGTAGAAGTGCAGTTACTGAGAAACCATGAAAAGCATTTGCAGATAAGTAACATGGAGATTTGAGATGCCTTTTAACAGCCATAAATCCAAATATTACTAAAGTAACAGAGATACATGAAGTGCATTGGTCTCATTGAATTTTTTCAAAAATAAATATTTGAAAATATTTCATAGTATTGCTGTCATTTATACTTGAAAATATTTTAGCTTAATAATTAGACATCTTTGTTTTTAAAAATTGCATATTGAGATTATTTTTTGATAGCCAGTTACTCTTCAGTCCTACTCTGATTGTCCCCCGGGGTCTACCTTAAACTTCTTTATTATCTTATATTCTTACTTTTTTTCTAATTTATCATCTAGATATTCTTCCTAACCTATTGAAAGTTGTGGTAAAGATCTTTTCAAGTACTAGAGACCGAATGTATTCCCTGATTTGCTGTAGGATTTCAAGAAAGGAGATATATTTTCTGTAATATGTTGTTCATCCCTTATCATAGCATAGGAAATTTTTTTGCCCAGCTCGTCTGGGAGAACATTATACTCCTAATTTTTTGTACTCAGTCTATAATTTATTTTAGACTGAGTATTTTAATCCATTCCAGTTAAGATTAGTTTCTTTTCTTTCTTACTGTATAAAAATAAGTCTGATCTGTTATCACTTAACCTAACAATGGTTTCTGTTCTTATATCTACCATTACTTCTCCTGTTCGATTTTCATGTAGATCCTGTATGAATGACTTTGGTCATGTTATTTCACTGATACCCAAAGCTAGTCATAATAGAGATGACTATCTATCTTCTTTTTTATCTTTAGCATTTATCTTCTTAATCATGTCTTCAAATGCAGTTGTTCCCAAGCATGCACATACAGAAATGTGTTTTATTTTATTATGAATATATTTCTCTTTTTATATTATAGTTGTATTTTTTTAAAGTAAAAATGTAGCCAGATGTATTAATTAAGGGACAAACTATAATGATGTAACAAAGATTCTAAATTTTAGTGAGTCACATGAGATAGAAGTTTATCTCTTTATCATACGCCTGTCCAAAGATGGGCCATTGGTGGAGAGTAGGAAGAGGCCTTGCCCCATAAGATTATCCAAACTCCCAAATTCCTTCTATCTTGTTTTCCCAATCCCTAGGGTGTGATCATCTATGTGGTCAGAGGTTGATTGCACTATCACATCCACACTCGGGTCCATAGAAAGAAGTAAAGTGGAAGATAAGTGCAAACCATTAGCTGAAGAAAAAAGTATATATATGAACTTGATGCTGCATGCATCACTTCCCCCATATCCCATTGGCCAAAATTGAGTAACATGGCCACATTCACTAGCAGGGGAAGGTGGGAAATGTAGCTTCTAGTTGGGCAGGCTTGGAGGGAGGTTTTATTGGTAAAAGGGAGAAGGGGAGCATAGGTACTGGGGTACAGATAATGGTCTAAGAGGGTCATTTAAAGAGGGAAGGAAATGTCTCAAAGTATTTGTTATAAAAGGAAGTTATCAGCTCGGTTGAGAAATACCGATATAGACTATTTCATTTGATCCTTAATATACTGTACCTATTGCCGTCGAGTTGATTCTGACTCATAGTGACCCTGTAGGACGGAGTAGAACTGCCTCATAGGGTTTCCAAGGAGCAGCTGGTAGATTCAAACTGCCATCCTTTTGGTTAACAGCTGAACTCTTTACCATTGTGCCACCAGGGCTCAGCAGTGGGAAATCGGTCTTAAATAACTATTCTTACAAAGAAACTGCCCCAGTGACTAACTGGAGTGTCAGAGCCAGGGTACGAATCCAGTTCTGATGGTACACAATACCACAGTTTACTTTAACTGTTTTTGTTTGTTTTCTAAATCACTTTAGTATCTCATGTTTAACTCTTAAGTAACTTTGAACTTGATGCTTATAAATGGGCACAATCCTAGTTTAAAAAAAAAAAAATCGTCTGTAGTATTTTCCAGTTACAAAGCATTTCCACAAACCTTGCTTTCACTTCAGACTCTTGAGAGGGAGAGAGAGAGCAGACAGTATTATTCATCAACTTCCAAAGAGGGTTATTTGTGGTTAGAGAAGTTAAGGAGTTTGCCCATTGCCAAAAGTACTCCTTACATATTTTTATTTAACCTTAATTAGTTTTCCTTATTTCCTATTAAAGTGTTGGCAAGGTAGCCTCCTTAGAGGCTGAGTGTTAATTTCACTTACTAATGTTAATTTTGTTGTGCATTTTGGATCTGTAGATATTGAACAGTATTTTTTAAAGACAGAACTGTTTTATATAAAACACTGTAGATGAACAAAAGAAAGTTGTTGGCTTCAAAGCAGAAGAATAATAATCATGGTGCCAGACACTGTACATATGTGATTTCATTTAACTCCAGCAACAATTATGTGAGGTATTCATTATTATCTTTGGTTCATAAATGAAGAAAATAGGCATTGGAATGCTCACTACAGCCAAAAACACAATATAAAGATGAATGAGGAAAAGGTAAATAGTTGCCTCTACAGACCCTCATCTCATATTGCAATTCTTAGCTGTATTTTATTTATAAAAACAAATACATATATGCACATGTATAGATGTTCTGTGATTGTTTTTGTTTTTACAACAGTGAAATCTTATTACGTATGTTACTCAGTAAATCTAACTACTCGGACTAACAGATAGAGATCTATTTTTAACCTCTGAGTCGCATACCATAGCAGATGTGTCAGTTTAGTCCCATGTGGATGAACATGTGGGTGTTTTCAAGTGGCTGTTGTGGTTTGATGCTCCTTCATGCAATGCTTTGGTAAACATCCTTGTACCCATATCCTGAAATACTGATGCTATTATTTGTGTAGGATAGATTCCCAAAGTAGGATTGCTAGATCAGTGCTAACCACAGTGTCATCCTGCCTCTCTTGGACCAAGAGAGGACCTTGAGGAATAAGTTGTTAAGCACTGAAGTGCTGGCTGTGCTGAGTTG